AGTCCATTCTTGCATTGCTGTAAAGAAACTGAGACTAGGTAGTTTATAAAGCAAAGAGGCTTAATTGGCTCACAGTTCTCTAGGCTGCATAAGCTTCTGCTTATGGGGGGGGCCTCAGGAAATTTAATGTATAAGTCTGTTTTTACACTGCTGATAAAGACATACCTGAGTCTTGGCAATTTACAAAAGAAAGAGATTTAATGGACTTATAGTTCCACATGGCTAGGGAGTCATCACAATTATAGCAGAAGGTCAAAGGCACATCTCACATGGTGGCAAACAAAAGAAGAGAGCTTGTGCAGGGAGACTCCCATTTTTAAAACCATCAGATCTTGTGAGACTTATTCACCATCATGAGAATAGCACAGGAAAGACCTGCCCCCTGATTCAATTACCACCCACCTGGTCCTTCCCACACACATGGGAATTCAACATGAGATCTGGGTGGAGAAAGAGCCAAATCTTATCACTTACAATCATGGTGGAAGGCAAAGAGGAAGTAGGCGCCATCCTTACAAGGCAGAACAGGAGAGAGAGAGAGAGAGGGAGGGAGGGGGAAGATGCCACATACTTTTAAACAATAAACTCTCTGAGCACTCACTCACTATCAGGAGAGCAGCACCGAGGGGAAAATCTACTCCCATGATTCAACCACCTCCCATGAGGCCCCCCACTCCAACACTGGGGATTACAATTCAACATGAGATTTGGGTGGAGACTCAGAGTCAAACTGCATTATTCTGCCCCTGGCCCCTCCCTAATATCATGTCCTTCTCACATTTCAAAATACCATCATGCCTTACCAACAGTCCCCCAAAGTCTTAACTCATTTTAGCATTAACTGAAAACTCCACAGTTCAAAGTCTCATCTGAGACAAGATAAATCCCTTGAAACTATGAGCCTGTAAAATCAAAAAGAAGCTAGTTACTTCCAAGATACAACAGTGGTATATGCACTGGGTAAATATTCCTATTCCAAAAGGGAGAAATCAGCCAAAACAACTGGGCTATAGGCCCCATGCAATTCTGAAACCCAGCAGAGCAGTAATTAAATCTTAAAGCTCCAAAAAAATCTCTTTTGACTCATGTCTCACATCCAGGTCACAATGATACAAAGGGTGGGTTTCCCAAGTCTTCAAGTATGCCCCTGTGGCTCTGCAAGGTACAGTCCTCATGGTTGCTTTCATGGGCTGGCATTGAGTGCCTGCAGCTTTACCAGGCATATCCTGCAAGCTGTTGGTGGATCTACTATTCTGGGGACTGTACAACGGGGGCTCTCTTCTCACAGCTCCACTAGGTGGTGTCCCAGCAACAACTCTGTGTGGGTGCTCCAGGTCCACATTTCCCTTCTGCACTGCCTTCATAGAGGTTCTTCATGAGGGCTCTGTCTCTGCAGCAGACTTCTGCCTGGACATACAGGCATTTCCATACATCCTCTGAAATTCAAGCAGCAGGGCTCCCAAACCTCAATTCTTGCCCTCTGTGCACCCTCAGGCTTAACACCATGTGGAAGCCTTGGCAGCTTCCAGCTTTCCCCTTTCTGGAACAGTGGCCTGAGATATATCTGAGGCACTTTAGCCAAAGCTGGAGAAGCTAGTAACAGCTGGGATGCAGGCAGCAGTGTCCCAAGGCTGTGCTGGGCAGCAGGGCTCTGGGCCCAGCCCACAAAACCATTCTTCCTTCCTAGGCCTCTGGGCCTGTGATGGGAAAGCCAACTGCAAAAGTCTCAGAAATGCCTTCCAAAATTTTTCCCCATTGTCTTGGCTATTAACAATTGGCTCCTCTGTACTTATGCAAATTTCTGCAGCTGGCTTGAAATTCCTCCCCAGAAAATTGGTTATTCTTTTCTACCACATGGCCAGGCTGCAAATTTTCCAAACTTTTATGCTCTACTTTCTTTTTAAATATAAGTCCCAGTCTCAGGTCATTTCTTTGCATATGCATATGATTATAGGCCTTTCAAAGCAGCCAGGCTGCATCTTGAACCCTTTGCTGCTTGGAAATTTCTTCCACCAGGTAACCTAAATAATCTCTCTCAAAGTCAAAGTTCCTTAGATCTCTAGTAAGCAGGGCACAATGCTGCCAGTTTTTTTGTTGTTCGTTTTTTGTTCTTTGTTTTGCTAAAGCATAGCAAGAGTGATCTTTACTCCAGTTCCCAGTGAATTCCTCATCTCTATCTGAGAACACCTCAGTCGGAACTTCACTGTCTGTATCACTATCAGCATTTTGGTCACAACCATTCAACAAGTCTCTAGGAAGTTCCAAACTTTCCCATATCTTCCTGTCCTCTTCTGAGCCCTCCAAACTATTCCAACTTCTGCCTATTACCTGGTTCTAAAGTCACTTCCACATTTTCAGATGTCTTTATAGCAATGCCCAATTTCTCTGGTACCAATTTCCTGTACTAGTCTGTTCTCACACTGCTACCTGAGACTGGGCAATTTATAAGGCAAAGAAGTTTAATTGGCTCACAGGTCTGTTTCTGCTTATGGGGAGGCCTCAGAAAACTTACAATCACGGCAGATGGTGAAGAGAAAGGAGGCACTGTCCTCACGATGAAGCAGAAGAAAGAGAGAGAAACGGGGGAGGTGTCATGCTTTTAAACAACCAAGTTTTTGAGCACTTACTCACTATCATGAGAGCAGCATTGAGGTCCCCATGATCCAACCACCTCCCACGAGGCCCCTCCTCCAACACTGGGGATGACAATTCAACATGAGATTTGGGTGAGGACACAGAGCCAAACCATATCATTAGTTATTTAAGGGATTTAAATGTTTACATTTTATAAGAAAAGTCAATAATTATAATGAGAAGTAGCAGTATCATATTATTTAGAAACATAGAACTATGTATTAAGGAATAAAGCTAAAATAAAGCTCAAAAACAAAAGCAGCTGCCTCTGGGGAGTCTGACTTGGATGGGAAGGTAGGAAACTGACATTTCTATTTCTTATCTACTGTTTGGCTTTTTACAATTCTGTATATGTATTGCTTTTAACAACATATTTAAAAAGGAGAAGTAGGAAATCAGAATTTTATTGGAAACTCCCAAGTTTAACACGTGCTGAAAATTAACACAAAATTAACAGATAGAAAGATAGGAGGGCACCTCAGGGCTCAAACAGCATACCTCCCTAACTAACTTCTCTATATCTGATCAGGCATCTGGGCCACAGAAGGTTTTGAAGGAAAGAAAAGTAACACTTATGGATCACCTAGTGTATGCTAGCATCATTTTAAAAGATTTTTCAGAGATCATTGTGCTTGATCTTCACCACGACCCTGAGTAGAGAAATGATTTTACAGATGAAGGACTAGGTCTCTGAAGAATGAAGAACATAATTGCAAGCACTCGTTTATATTTCCAAGTGTGAATCTCAGGGAGACTGCGGATAGCGTCTGACAACTGATTCTCATCACAACTCAGATGTGTGGAGCCATTTACACATGAGAAAATTGAGACTCAGCAAGGTCAAGTGACTGACCTTGTCATACAAGTAAGCAGCAGAGCTGCAATGTGGCCCCAGCCTCCAATTACAACCCCCCACTCTGAGTCTTTGGAAGACACAAACTGTCTTCTCCATGTTTGTACCGCAGCACCTCATACACTGTGCATGGCACATAGGACATGTTCACCCAAAGTCTATTGACTGAAGCAGGCAAGGCTCTGAAGAGGTCTCACCTAGTTCATTAGCCCATTAGCCCAGGTTGATTCCAAGAGAATCAAGCTCCCAATCTTCCTCTCTCTAGGCACCATGAATGTGACTTGTGCAAGGGCTGTCTGGATATAGCCCCTGCAGGAGGAAGGCCCTTTCCTCAAAACAAGAGAAAACCACTTAGCTCACCTTCAAGTGGTCCAAAAAATCAATTTACAGCTCTCCAGTCCAGGACTTAACACTGAAATGTCACACACTTTAAATTACAGGACAAGAGCATTTTCATTCTCACAAAATAGCAAAATTAAATCTTTAACTCCAAAAATAAAATAAAACTGTGGAAACAATTTTGGAGCCCACAGAACTTTTGAAAAATGTTATTAACAAGCTGTGAAATCAGGGAGATAAAAATCGAACACCCTGAGGGGGAACAGCAGGGTCCCCAGTCCAACCCCCTCATCCTGAGTCATGGAGAGACCAGTTTCCACTCTGTGGGTCCAGGAAGCAGGGGGTATGGAGCTAATGCATGTCTCCTGCTCCACGCTGGCTCTTAGGGCAACACTTGGAAGATGGGATGAGTAAATTCTCCAACATGTGAAATTGTTGGGAAACTGGGTTCATTCTAGCTGTTTCCCTTGGCCGATTCCACACCTCTGGGCAGGAACTGAAATTATAGAGCTTATCACTCAGACTTCCATAATAATGAATTTAAAATTGTTCCAAAGGAAAATGTACTTGTTGTATGGATTGAGTACTGTAGAGCATTCACAAAGAGCAGCGTAAATTACAAAATGTTTCCAATAGATCCTCTTTTTTGTCCAAGAACTTTGCAGTTATGATGACGTTAGCAGAATTTCTGTTCTGCTCTTGGTCAGAAAAATTTGGAGTTGTTTACCTTTATTGCTCACAGAGATGCTTCCTAATACTAGCAAGATGATGGAATAACAGCTAGAGAAGTCTATCTATCCCTAACAATGTGGCAGGGTGGTTACCTATCTAAATTCTCCTGCCAGATTTAAGAGGACCAGCATGTGTAAGTTTGAGAAGGCTATGGCCCTGTGTCCAGAAAACATAGATCTAATATAACTCCCCCACCCCATCCTTAGAAACAAGCACCACCAAAGTCCCCAAGCAATAGAATAGAGATAAAGGAAAAGGGTGCAATTCCATGGACATGCATAGCTTTCCCATAACAGTCTTCCTTGTTCTCCTGACACTGGCTCACAGGAATTTCTAAAGAACGTACTGCAGGCCCTCTGGAATACCACATTTTTCCAGCCCTGCTCCCGGAATACAAGTTGCACAAAACTGCAAGGGTAGTTTTATATTTCTAACCCTAAGTATTAAACCAGGTGGCTACTAGGCCTCCCTAGGGCCAGCTTCCTAGGGCAGGGTGACCCACTTTCATTCCCACTTGTTAGTAGTCCATTAAAGACCAGTAGATACAGCATCACAAAAATGCATCTTTATTTAACTCATTCAGACTTGGCATGAGAATCTCTGATTTTAACCAACATTACAAGGGAAACAGTTGGATCATGGGGGCTGGTGTGTCTTAGAGAAAGTCATGCGAGCAAGACTGAACTGCCTATACACATCTTTAGGAATGTTCTCTGGCAATCCTTGCTCAAGAATCCTTGAAACCATGAAGTATTTCCTAGAAGATTTCTCTTTCCTCCTTAGTCCAACTCGAGGTGATGGAACCATCTTGTGTTAGGGCAGAATTGTCAGCTTTAGAAATAATTTGTCTTACAGGCTTTTTGCAGTTGGGAGCAGAGTGGTTTCTTGCTTGCCTGGCTTTGAAGATCGTCAGTCCTTTCACTGTTCTGCAAGTCAACAGTCACAAAGCACATTAATGCTTCAAATCAAAATTATTTCCATCATATTCCTCATATTTACCACCCCCAAAACATCTGAAATACTGCTAAGTACATTTGACCTTTTCTGGTGCGATTCAAGCTCAATAAATAAAACTCTGTCTCTGGAATCTTTCTATGCAAACACAAGCTTGATAATAAAGGTTGCCTCTCTATTGATGGGGGGGATCAAATTTGGCACAACTACCCTAAAAGATAATCTGGGACTCTGTAGTGTAGTAGAAGTCTGCAAATAATTATATCTGAGGTCACACTTCACTTCCAACAACTTATCCTGTGATAATTAGGAGTGTTCCTAAAAATGCTTATGCCAGCAGTTTTTATGATGGGAAAAATTTGAAATCAATCCAAAGTTTCATTAATAAGACATTGTTTCAATTAATTATTAATCTTGGTATGAGGCATGGATATATATTAAAGGTAAAATCAATAGGATTATCTAATGTACTGGATACACAGCAAGAGACACGGAAAGGAGTGACGTTTCAGCCTGAAAACTTTAAAACACGAGAGTGCCACTTACTGAGTTAGGAGACACTGGAGGAGGAGCAGCTGTAGGGGAAATCAAAGGGATGTTTTCCCAAGTACATGATCATGATCCCAGTTTACACTGAGATGTGCTTGCTGGCTCTGAGCCAGGCACAGCTGTAATGTTTGACAGTTACATTCACTCATTTAATTATCAGATTAACTCTTAGAGATAGGTTACTATGATTGTATCTGGGGTTATGATTTACTTTTTATATCTAAATATTCCAAGTATCTAAATATTTCTTTAGAGGGAATATGTACATCTTATAAAGAAAAGTTGAATGTGTGTGTCTGTGGTCACTGCAGTGACAATTTTAGTACTCGTGAGCCCCTAGTGATTGCTCAATCTAGGTTGGTATGAGAGTGTTTCACAAGTGATCTTTTAGTTCAGTAGTTTTCAACTTTTTTTTCCTGCCGGGCAAGATGAGTTCATATGCAAGACTCAGTCTCATGGAAACCCCCAGAGTAATACACAGTTCCCTGAACTCCGGTTGTAATTAAACCCCCTTTCCCTCTCACTTACCTTGAATCTGCTCTAATTGTTTTCATATGAAATTCTGCAACTAGATTACTTTATCTATTATACCTAATATATCTTAACACATTATTTGCAACACATCCCAAACAAATGGAGATTCACCAGTGGGTTCTTATATTAAGCTGAGATCCTTTGGTTTAGATGACTGTATGAATCAGATTCCTAGAGGGTACTTAATTTTTTTAAGTTGGGGTCTCACTCTGTCACCCAGGCTGGAGTACAGTAGTACAGTCATAGCTCACTCCAACCTTAAACTCCTAGGTTCAAGCAATCCTCATGCTTCAGCTTCCCAGAGCCCTGTGATTACAGGCGTGAACCACTGCACCCAGCCTGATTTTTTTTTCAACATTTTATAAATGAGAGCTTTCATTTAGTCCTTTTTTCCCTCTCCAATCACTAGCATTCAACCATAAGTTTGGCTGTTTTGTCCAACAATTTTCATCTATGATAACATACCCAATAAAGTAGAGAGCTGGAGTGATTATAGCTCCTTACAATAACTAAGGAGACATTTGAGACAGGGATCCCACTAACTTCCATGATATTTTCTCCACTAGAGACTTGTGCAACTCTACCTGCCATGAGAATAACAGATTTGCATGGAATTTTGACTGTGCTCTGTTGATGACTGATATTTTCAGTGTACGTAAGTGGGAGATGAACCAATGATATCTAATTTAAAATGAAAAATCTGACTGAGACCTCGGCTCATTATGCTCCTTGATTAATGCTTGGTAAGCTCCCTGACTCTGGAATTACACCAGAAACAGTCAGATTCAATTACTATAACTCCAAAATAAATATCTATTTTTATTTTCTTTTGAGAATGTAGAGAGGAATCCCATCATAACATGACTCTTATTAAATAGAATTGGATACGCCTTGGATCAAATGGAGTCTCCTGAATCATGAACATTGGAAATGGAAAGGAATTAGAGGTTACATCGTCCAACACTGTCACTTAATAGATGAGGAAAAAGATTCTCAGAGAAATTGAGTGATCTGCCCAGGACCACACAGAAACGTGGACCAGAACCCAGCTAACCTTACCCTGAGTACAGGGCTCTTTCCATCCGCTGGACCATGTGACCTGCCACTGCTGCTGCTGATGGTCTCAGTTGACCACACAATCATTCCCAGGAGAGGACTCAGGAAACATCCCCCACAACTGTACCCTATGCCTCATGTCCCCCTTAGCAACAGAGTTGGGTTGTCCAGGACAGGAGAAAACCCACGCAGGCAATAGAACCAATACTATAGCGCCTCGTGGCCGAGAGTAACGCAGCATTTGGCTCTACCCTATGTTCCAAGCTGGAGGTTGTGAAAAGAAATTTGGAAGGACTGAAGGAAAAGAAAAGGAAGGCTAGCAAGAAAACAAACTGTGCTCATGGATGTGCAGAAAACAAAGGCAACATTAAGGAAACACAGGTAAGAAGCATTTAAGAATCAGGCCTTTGTCTTTTAAAAGTTACTTTCAATAACAACTATATCAGAGAACTTCTCTCCTTATAAATATTTGCTCAACTTCTAAATAAAATAAAATGTAAATCACAATTATTTTCTTACCTGACACCTTCTCTTGCACCCCAGTTCCAATTTCTTCAACAGATCAGCTAGTAAGAAAACTCCAAAAACCTCAGCTTGCTTAGCAGTCAAGAGTCAAAAAGCTCATGACAGGAATGGTTTTAAAAATTCAAACCTGGCAGTGCTTTCAGCTCTGCAGGGATCACAAGCAACATGTTATTACCTTTGAGAGTACATTTAGATGTGGAAATGTCATTTAGACTGTATGCCAACCATCTAGATAGCATTTTGCTGCCCATTACTATTTGTCACAAACTAGTAACCAACCACTGACTTTTATATACACTGTGGAATACTACAAACAGGCTGGGTTTGCCTAACAAAATGCTTTACCCTGTTTTGATGACTAGCATGACAATTCCCAGGTAGCCACTCTTTAGAAAGCCTTCCTTTAGAGGTGACAAGTCAGACTACCATGTCAGTTACAGTGCTGGCTTCAGAGCTTCAGCCACAGAAGCAGGTCTGTCCTGGAGTTGCATTTTGGATTGTCCCTGCTAGCTCAAATTCCTGGTTAGCTATTCCCTGGACTTACTGATTCAGTAGGATCTGCAAATAATGGTAGCAGGTCACATGCAAATCAATTCATGGAGAAAAATGTCCCTCTGTTTAATTACTAATAACGATTGGCCACCTTTCAGGGAACTAGTCAGGATCCTCTTCCTGAGGCTGCCATTGGCTGCACCATCCTGGACAGGTTCTTCCTCTCTAAGCCTCTGTTCCCTCATCTGTAAAATAACGCAGGGAATGAAGAGGATTGCTCCAGTTGTCTCAGGCTCTGACATTCTGCAGCTTGGCTTTGGAAAAAGGTTGAAGTAACTGAAAACAACTAGCTGTGAGAATATTACGAGAGACTTGCTGCAGGTCAGGGCAATCTCTTACTAATGATAAGGCAGATGCTGCCTGAGCTAGGGCAAAGAGGTTGTTCGCTTAGACGTTTATAAGAGGGTCTGAGATTCTTTGCAGAAGCATTAACATTTAAGTGTACATTTCTGGGCTATCTTTCCCTTGCTGAGTCTTGAGAGCTTTACACATATTTAACCAAGAGCTGGTATTCCTTCTCAACATGCACCAAGATTATGTTTAATCCCAGGACATATCACACAGTTGACGATTCAGAAAGTGTCAGTTGGCCAGACACAGATTCCATTAATGTAACCTAATTCTTAATATCTGCTTACTGGAGTCCAGCTCTTTTACTGATTTGGAATCCTGATACTTCAAAATTTCTGAAGCTCTGCTCACTGTCTGCAGAGTCAGTGCCTTCATGACTCTCAGTTCACCAGGCCTGCTATTGTTAAAGTACCAGCTATGACCTGTAACACTCCTGAGCCCCAGCTTTCCAAATAAGCCTTCAGAAAATATTGCTGAGAGAAAAGGTAATGGCAATGATCAAATTGCTTGCAAAACCTACATTCCATCCATAATTCTGGATTTATGTGGATACTTTAATAGCAAAATAAAACCATGCCATGTTTTATCAGGAAACTGTGCCATATTTTAATTCTAAGTGTGTAGATTTATCTTGTATGAAGCAATCCCAATATATTAAAATCTGGCAATATTAAGTTGGTAAATTCTAGAGTCGTTACTTAAAAATATTTTTAAATTACCAATAAAGTTTTTATAAAGTAACTAATTAATGGTTATTAATTTTTCCATGAACAGAGGAGTGAAATTAATATAAACCTCTGCCTGCACTTGAGAGCCCCCAAAACAGATCTTAGCAATTTATAGAAGTATCTTATAAAGTATTATAGCTAATATGATCCAAATACTATTTTAACTTGTACCAATGTTAATTCCTTTAATCGTCAGAACAATCCTGCTAGGTTGATTGGTTAGCATCTTTCTGAGACACTGACAGATCAAGTGGCTTGCCAGAATCATCCTCTAGTTAAGTAAAAGGACCCAGATTTGCACTAAGGCACCCTGGTGCCATGCTGCATGCTCCTAACCTCTTGGCTAAGCTTACATTTTAAAATGATAAATTTGCTTAGCACATTTACAGATGATATGATTTTTTAGTTTTTTTTAAAAAATACTAGTTTTAAAACCAAAGAACTTTAACTTACCCCAGACTCACAGCCAGGACCATGAACAGTGCTTTCTATGAGTTTTGAGCTAGAGGCATACATTTGTCATGAGTCTATCAGCTACAATGGCCGAAACTCAACTCACATTGAAACAAAACACAGACTTGTTGGAGATATAAAACTGAGATATTGGGGTGGAGTTGGCCTCAGGGACTACAAAGAACTCAAAAAATACCAAAACTCAGTCTTACTCTTCGTTGTTC